AAAAAAAAAACAAGTGGCAGAGGATGCTGACAAGTAAGGGGACCTAGAATCGTCGCCAGCAAATTAGCGACATCCTGTCGGGCAAGGATACTACCGACATGGATTCTGCCCATTCAACCATCTTCCGTGGCATCCTTGCTTCCAAACTTCCTCGTTCGGACCTGACTCTCAACCGGCTGACCCAAGAGGCAGTCAGCGTGACCGGCGCGGGCATGGAAACGACAAAGTGGACGCTGAACGTGGCCCTCTTCCACGTGCTAGACCAGCCACCCGTACAGGCCCGCCTCAAAGCCGAGCTCGCTAACGCCATGCCCGACGCCAGCGTCATCCTTCCGTGGGTAGAGCTGGAGAAGCTGCCATATTTGTCAGCTGTGATTAACGAAAGTGAGTACACACACACACACACACACACACCCATGAGTACCGAAACACGCACCGTCGAGCCCAGCGTCCTAACGCAGCCAGGCCTCCGTCTCGGCTACGGCCAGGTCCAGCGCCTTCCGCGCATCAACCGTCTCGGCACGTGGAAATACAAGGATTGGGAGATCCCCTCAGGTGCCACCGTCGGCATGGATGCGTATCACATGCACAGCAACCCGGCCATCTATCCGGACCCGCAGGCTTTCAAGCCCGAGCGGTGGCTCGGCGATCCAAAGGGGCCGGACGGCGTGCATCCGCTTTCGAACTATCTCGTCCCCTTCGGCCGCGGGTCCCGCATATGCATCGGCCGGCCGGTAGCCCTGATGGAGCTGCATGTGGCTTTGGCAACGCTGTTCCGCAGACATGAGTTGGAGCTGTACGAGACGCAACTAGCAGATGCGGACTTCGTGCTAGATATTGTCGTGCCGATGCCGAGGTGGGGAAGCAAGGGAGTTAGGGCGTTGGTAGTCAAATAAAGACTGGCTTTGCGCTGAGTCTGTATTCAATTGCAGGAACGCTCTCGCAGAAGAAGTGGCCGAGCTCTAAGAATTTTGCATCCCTACAAGGCAAAGGGAATGTAGTTCAATTGGCTTAGATAGGAGCTTCGAAGTCTCCAACGTCCAAAGCCCTCGAGGTAGCTCCGATTACATTACATAGTGGGAGCAGAACCTTAGAGTACATAGGTTATAGAGATGGAACAACTCGAGATATGATACGCCATCTTTTCTAAAGGCATAAAGCGCTCTCAACAACTTGTGCATTATAAACACTAGCGTCCCGCGGGAGCATCTTAGTATGTACACCAAGGCCGGACTACGTTCAGTTGGGCCATATTATTGAATCCCCATTAGCAACAGGGTTCGCTCTTCAGCACAGAAGGCGCCACGACAAGAGGGACAATGAGGAAAAGTTCATCCAGTTGAACATACGTTGAATGTCGACCGCGCTCGAGTGCAACGACATGTAGGTGCTTACCGAGCTACCTTAGGTTCTATACATACGCAAAGTCACCCGGACCAGCTAACTGCCCAGTGGTTTGATTTCAAAGCTACCCACCCGCGCGGCTTACGAATCCCCAGCCTTGCTTGGATCCGGCAAGCTGCATAATAATTATGGTTTGGATGAGCTACATAGGAGTAGCGCCCCGCGCGGGTGGTGGGTCTCGAATATGCGCAGGCTACAGAGCCGATTGGCAGCGGTCGAGTCACCCCTCCCCGCCCACCTTGGTCGAATCTGGCAAGCTGCAGAAAGAAGTGTGGGTTACTACTGCATGCAAGCAGGCGGGAAAATGGAGCTTGTATTGTGGATGATGCTAAAAAGCTGGCTAACTGCACTGGGACGGTCATAATAGCCCTCACAACCTGGTGGGGGAAAAGTGACTGGTCTGTGCAGGGAAGGTGCAGCTGCATGTTAATTAAGGTTTACGGGTGGTGGGTCTTGAAGAACGTGCGCAGACACAGTGGGACTACCTAGGTAATTACAAGGGGCCGTAAAAGTGGATCCGATACTATGGTGTATGCGGCGTGGTAACTGGACGTATCAACGACGTGAAAGCTGTTACTCAGTGAGTCGACGATGCCACGTTTGCGACCATCGGGCGTCGTTCAGATGAGGCGTTTTCTGGATTGCTAGGTAGTATAGGAGATATAAGAAAACCTCTTTCCTCTAGAATTAATGAGAGATCGCCTTTCTATGATCATACCGCGCAAAACTTCCCTCTACGCTAGCATATACTTCGGTTTGAGGAGATCATTCTCGGCGAATCCGCTGCTGAACCCACGAAGCTACTCGAGATCCTCGATGAGAATGGCCGCCCGTGTCGTTCTTATCCTTGGCTCAGGCCCCCGTATCGGCGATGCCGTGTCTGGGAAGTTCGCCGCAGAGGGATACAAAGTTGCCTTTGTTTCGAGGAAGGGAACAGACTCGATCAACGAGCAAGGCTATCTTTCGCTCCAGACCGATCTCGCCAACCCCGACCCCAGCCTCCTAGCTACCGTCTTCGACAAAGTCAAGAGCGAGTTCAAAGCGGCTCCTAGCGTAGTCGTATACAACGCCGGGTCTTTCACTCCCCCGCCCGTTGCAAATTCGGCCTTGTCTATCCCCAGTGCAAGTCCATACTGGCTCTTCCTTTCTTTTTGGCCTGCCTTTCAAGAACCTTGTTGAGTAAGAATTGCTAATTATATAATTCTTCGGCAGGCGCGTGTTACCAATGATTTGAATGTAAATGTTGTCAGTCCATTCATTGCTGCACAAGAGGCTATCAAGAACTGGGAAACTCTTCCCACCGAGACTCATAAGTTGTTCATTTACACTGGTAACATTTGTAATGTCGCTGTGTTGCCTGTGCCGATGTTGCTGAACGGCGGCATGGGAAAAGCGGCCACCGCCTACTGGCTTGGTGTTGCTGACGGTGCATACGCAGCCAAACACTACCGGCAAGTCTTTATTTATCTTGGCTCCTCCTTCGAAAATCATATTGCACGCAACGAGGAGCAGAGACTCTCTGGTGACCGGGCTCTAACTTTGTCAGATTCATTTACGCCGACCAGCGCCAAGCGGATGGCAAGATCGCAGGCCAAGATGTCAGCGGGCCCGCACATGCCGATTTCTACACGCAGTTGGCGGCTAGCGGTGCGAAGGATGTCCCGTGGCACGCCACGTTTGTCAAGGACAAAGGATATGTCAAATTCTAGTCATCTAGCTACTTTCTATCTAAACACTTATGATCGTTAGACGAGTAACACGAGAGCTCTATCACTCTGAAAGTACGTGGCGAATTCGCCAACGTTGCCCGTAGCCCTATCGTTCCACACTTTTTCTATAATATCAAAGCTGCGGCGCACAGTGCTAAAGCGGCTGACTGGCCGCAGCGAATCTATCATGTTTCGTATCCGGGGTCTGTGTGCCGGTTCGACCAAACAACCTACCACGCAGAACGGCCAGGCCATGCTGCGCAACAGAGCCGGAGACGACACATGGTGCGTCCACAGCTCGAGGACTTGAGCGACATGATGCCGTACGTCCGGGTTGGCAGGCTGCCATCCAGACATGATGATAGAAATATAAAGAAAGGCACTGTGCGCCCAGACCTTGGTGACCAACGAACTTTGTCGGGCAATCCTCCGAGTCTGTCCGAAGTAGTCTTCCGCTGCGAGCGTGTCATCTAGGAAACTTCTCTCCCCGGCCATAAAAGCCAAACCGGCGTCCAAACGAGAGATATGGGCCTCTAGCGTCTGCTTGATGGCTTTTGCGCGATTGACCATCTCACCCAGATCCAGGTTGCCGGCTGCGTTACAGTCTTTCTTCCACGCGTCCAAAGCAGCAATCTCGCCGATTTGCCTGAGGACCCAGTTTTGGCACCCTATAGTAGCCTCAAGGTTAATGGGCGGGTTGGTATCAATGCCCTCGCTTGGGAATAAAAGACTGTGGTGGTAGTCGTATAGTTGCGGACGCTCCCGCAAGGCAGTGCTCGCGATGATATCATCGAACAGCAGCAGGGCTGTTGAAAAGCGAAAGGCCGCTTGCTCAGAGCTAGGCACCTCAGCTTGGTGGGCTAGTAGGACCCACGTGGCAGGGCCAAGAAAGCCCATGATGGTTTGGAACGTGGTGTGAGAGGTGGCGAGGTCAGCAGCTCCAGGGACATCGATGACTTTCCTGAAAATATTGAGGGCCGCATTTAGATGGCCCCGGCAGTTGTCAAAACAAGCGATGGCGATCTCGAAGCGCTGCAGCTGCATGACAGCGGCCATGGTGCGAACGCTGGCAAGTATATGCTCATCCTCGTAGCTCTCGATTATCTGCATGGCATTGCGCAACATGATGAATGCATCCCTCGTCTGTTCAAATAAGACGTCCCATATACGGCCATCGGTAATGGTGGTGGTTCCGTGCGCTGATGCAAAGAAATACGAGCTCTGGCAAAGGATAGCTTGACGAATGACGGGGCTGCTGATGACCAGATCCAGGATCCATGCTCGGCCGCCTTCGAGCAACCCAGGCCGGTGAAAAGGAAACAGGAACGGGAAGACATGTTCGAGGTAGCAAACTAGTAGCACCGAGTCCGACTGTGCGAACGGTCTCATCTTTTGTACCTGCTTACATACGTTTTTGGTATCAACGGGAGAAGCAGTATCTAGTGGGTCTGGAGGAGTCGCGCTAGAATCAGGCACATAAGAAGACGCTTCGCTCCGATCTCCGGATCCGGAACTGGAGACATTGGAATTAGCGAGGACCGCCGACTCCCTCTTACCGCGGAGGCGATAAGGAGCTTGTTGCTTGATCTCATTCTTGACCTGCTCGGCCATAGCCTCCTGCTTTGCACCGCCGTCCATCCACGCCGGCTTGTCGCCGTAGGCGCAGGTAGAGATGTGGAGTGCCAGGCACTTGTTGCAAACGGGATGCTGCTCATCGCACTTTTTACGCCGCAGTCGACAGGGCCAGCAGCCGTTGGAACTTTTGCTCATGCTGATCGAGAGTGTATTCCGCGGAAGGGCTAGTGCCTACGCGTGATGGGGAGAAACCTGGAGCTGAGGTAGCGCTCAAAAACAACCAGGTAAGGAAGGACTCTCGCTACGCAAATGGCGTGAGAGCTGCCCAGTAGCCTCGAGCGGGCTGTGCCGTTGATTCGTAAGCACTGATTGCCTTTCGTTCAGAAAGGATTTGGTTGTCAGTGTGTGTGTTACTTATCTCGGCCTAGCGCCAATGCAGGGCCGGGGTAAGTGGGGGTGTCTCGACGTTCCACGAACGGCCCCAATGCCAGGAGCGACGTATATGGCTTCGAGTACTATGTGAATGTTCAAGAAGCGGCACGCGAAACTCGGGCGCGCCAGCACTATCAATCGATCGAGCTTTGAAGGTCTTATCTACTTATTCTACGATACGATCGCCTCCCTGTGCGCCGATGGTCAAGCCGATCATGATAGCTATGTAGTGGAGACCCCCAATCCCAACAGACTCGTGATAGTAACTCGTCCACCAGGGATGGGAAGCTAGACTCATAGAAGGGAATGTTAAGTCAAATTCTTATCGAATATTGGTACGAACTCCATGGGTAATCACCAGCATAAGGTCAATGATGCCGTAGACTATCGCGAGGTCGACAGAGAGGAAAATAATGACTGGCTGAGTGGTAGCAGAAGAACGACGCGAACCAGCGAAGTTCGCAGAATAGAGGCGAGGCGTAAATCTCCAAGCTCGATATCCGTCCGCAGTTGATCGTTCCCAGTTTCTTTACGCAGCTTTTGCGCTGTTTTTTTTACAAAATTCGCGGGCCGTAGGTCTCGTTCAGCATAAAGAAAACGAGGACATATACAACGCCTCCGAAAATGGTGATGGTAAAGAAACACCAGAAACACCAGTCCCACGTCGATTTCCCGACAACCGAGGCTCCAAGTAAGGGTTTGAGGGCAGGAGTAAGCAGTGATGCTAAGTATGAAGCCCAATGGCCAGGTCATTGTCCTCCGCCCGCCACAAATCCGAGAGAAGACCGCCACTAATGGTCACTGAAGCGCAAGCGCCGAGACCGCTGAGAAAGCGGAAGGCCATGAGTTTGCCTTCATTCTTCGCGAAACAGTTGGCAAGATTGAAGATCAAAAAGAAGACGTTGGCGAGCTGAAGAATCAATGAACATCCATACACCTCGAAGAGTGGAGCTAACACCAGGGGCCCGATAGCATAGGCAAGTTGAATGTTGGGGAAGAAGATCTGCTTTTGAAAAGAACCACCGATGATAACATTGATGGCAATCACTGTTCCAGCGGGCGCGACAATAGCAGAAGAGATGCCCGACATGAATGTGATGAGTGATACTAGAATAGTAATGGCCCATTTCATGCTCGAGGGACGAGCCAGTTTTCGCGGTCATCCGCACCATCCCCTTTCACGATCTAGATGAACCTAAAGAATCAGTTGGCGGCGCCTGTATTATGAATCCGGTGAACATAGTACTTGCGAACTTTCATTGACAACTAGTGAACCCTTTTCAGAATTCGCCTCTGGCACATTATGGGAATGGGAAGTTCCACTCGATAGTATCAGAGTTCCAGGTAGCCCGCGATCAGATAGGTCATCATCTTGCGTGGCTGTCCTGTCGCCGACAACTTGACATCTTTCGACTCATACTCAGAACGTAATAGCAAAGGATCCTCAGTACAGTAACTTGATGATGACAAGGCAGAGGACAATCAAAGAAGAGAAGCTGGCTTGGCACCTCCAGCTCTTCCGGTGTAAGCGCATAAGCCTCAGCAGGGTCAAGCCGCGCACCATCATATTAGGCTCATTTGCCAGCGCGTTGTGACAGAAGTGTGAGTGCTCATTGGCTAAGTCAAGCTGAAAGTCCGGACAAGTAGCTGAACCTCAGACTCACGTGTGTTTAGGTCCATTACAAGTTACAGGTCACACACTTGCAGCCTGTTTTGGCGCGCGTCCTTTCTGGGTCCAATATGCTTCACTGACGAGTGAAAAGTACCCTGTTGAAGCATGCAGTCAGCTCTATACAGTTGCATTTATTGCCCAAAACTGTCTTGCTACATGGTGTGTGGGGGTCCAAGCCTGCCGTGTGGGACTTTGCCTTTTGGGGACCCAACCACAATGCGACAAGGTGGTGTGATGCCGAATTGCAGAAGCGATGGCATGGCACGGGTACCAGCTTATCTACAGCCTTGGGACTTTGTAGACCCCGGCAAATTTGGCCAAGATGAGCCTCTGGCCATAGGCCCGATAGGTGGATTGCAGACGTTCAGCTACTGTACTCGTACCCCCTAAAACTTAAACCTCTTAGATTTCGGTTTCCCAATCTTCAAGCTTCTTATCATTGGTCAGCCACTGCTTTAGTATAATTACCCACTTGGCAGGCGTTCCGGGAAGACAGCCGAGAAACTCCATCGCATTCCCAACACCGCCTTATTGGGTTGTAAGATGCGCCGGTAAGTTAACAAGAGGCTGTAGCACAACGCTGACAAGTTTGTAAGGATCTATCTATCTGACACAACTTCTGGATCAACGGGGCATCAGCTAAAGGCATCGCAGCGAAAAGATGATCGTTTCTGTAGGAACTAATGATCAAAAGGCCTCGGCTTTTTGCTTATTTGTCCACTGGCCGTAAGAAATTCTTTACTTGGTAATTAATCGACTGTGTGGTGTGCGGAGTGGCCAGCTACGTGAGATAGGCCCTGAGAAGCCGCATGGGATTTACAGCCCATAGCCCATGGGAATTTGGCGATAAGAAAATGTGGCACGATGACGCCAAGGAGAATTGAGGCGGTTGATTATACGGCGACCCCCGGAGCTGACTATCAGATTGAGCTAGGGTAGGCGAGGGGTATGCGAGATGTCGATGGGCAGGGTCCTCGGGACTGATTTAGTGGATCGCGGATCCTGTTCCCTGTCATCTTGAAAATTTGCAGATCACTGAATTGCTGGCCCATGTCACATGTCGCCAGCTGATTTAAACGGAAGGATGAGACCCCCGGCCGGAAGATAGGACTCTGCGCGCTACTAGTAAGTATGATGAAAAATTGGATGGCCCTCACTATTTGCCCTCTTCGCATACTATTCGCTGCTTAGGGGCGGAGACAAGGGGCCGCTTCCATTGGATGAACTCCGAACAAAAGTATGGCACGTTCAGGAAACCCGAGGGGACATAATCCTGAGCGCATGGTAGCGGGCTTACCGGACCTGGCCTGCCAGCTTCCGG